ACAATGATGAAAAAAAAAAAAAACAAAGAAAAAAGAAAGAGGTAAAAGCATTTGGTATGCAAGTGACAAAATTTAAGCTAGACCTCACTATAGCCGGTCTCTTATCTGTCTCTTTTTCCATTAGCTTTTCATGCACCTCTACTTGTTGCCCCCTATTTCATTCATTCTACTCCACTACACTCCCAAAGATTCTTTTTTTTGTGATTATTCTTATTTTTATTTTACAACACTATGAAGTCTAAAGTTCATTACTTTCACATTCATTCAGTCTAATTTCGTCTTTTTCTGGATTTCTTCCCCCAGAAGAAAATCGTGTGGCGATTTTTCCTTATTTTTTTCTTGATTTTGAAATAAAACGGTTAAAATAAAATAATAAAATAAAACTGTATTTATAGATTGATACCTAGCAACACCTTTCAAAAAAAATAAATATAGGGCGTGGTTGTAAACGGATTACCGAAAATACTTCACCCAACTGAGTTTATTAACTCATACTGCGCTAATTTTGGCCCAATTAGAGCTCCCAATTCTTGTGTAGGCCATGCTTCATTCTAGTTGTTTTTGGCCCAATTAGATCTCCCAATTCTTGTGTGGGCCAAGCTGCATTCCAGTTGTGTGCAGGCCTATGTTTTAATGGGCATATATAGGGGTAAAATACGTGGCGTCCCTCTGTATTTAACAAAATGCGCGCGTTTTTACCCTGTGTTTTAAAAAATGTATGAAAGAGATGATGGGTCTACTTCTGGATCTGAAGTGAACCGGTGGTTTTCAGCTCAGATCTTTTTGAATCGCCCTCGAACCGTTGCTAGACCGTCGTAAACACCTGCAAGAACTCAACGCCGGAAGTGTTTCCGGTGTAGAGCCTCCGACGCTTAAATCAGTATGTGAAAGAGATGAGGAAGAGCTGCTCTGAGAGAGCAGCATCAGCAGTAGCAGCAGCAGAGAGTGTATAAAATGAATGGAAGTTAGGGTTTATGGTTACCTCACTTTCTTTATATAGGAGGAAACACTTACTTGGAATACCCGAAATGCCCCAGTCGGTCTACCTGAAATGTCTAAATTACCCTGGTCGATTTGTCTCCCCATACTGCTGAGTCATCACAAGATTCCTTCCTATCCATTAGAGAATAGGAGACTTCAAGAGATATTATGTGTACTGAGTCGCCAGTACGTTTCGCGTATCGACCTCGAGCACTGGAAGGTCGACTTGGGATCATATGAATATTCGGAGGCTACGCTTGTTCATCTTCTGGGTGGAAGTCGACTTGTAGGGGTCGACTTATGAGAGTCGACTTTGGCGCTGTCGACTTTGGTCAAACCGGCCTTCGCCTTTAAACTCATGCAGAACCGTAAGCTGTCTCGGAGTCGACTCGTGGGTGTCGACTTGGTGATGTCGTCGTGGGGTCGGTTCGACTTGCCATCCCGGTCTAGTAGTTAGTTGGGCTGGTATATTATAATATGGCTATATCATCTAGTCCCCCTCCCCGAAAATTACTCTAAACGGTCTAGTTTAAGAGTAAATTTGTCGGTTGAGCGTCACGATTATTTGACTTTGAGTCGTGCTCTGTTTTTCGACTCATCATGTCGGCGACTCGTCTTGTCATCCTCTAGAGATATTGCAATACTTCATGATTGCGTTTCAGATAAGGCCTTTTTTTTTTTTGAATTTCAAATTTCGCAATTTGAATCCTGTAATGATACGCCGCCTCATATTCCACCGCTTCGACTTCCGTGCTGTAATCCTGGGCCATTAGTCAATTCGGATCCAACAGTCATCAATCCGTGGCCCCTCCTATAAGTATCCTTCATCCTTTCTTTGAATCACTTTTCGATCTCTCTAACTCTCGAGCTCTCTCAACTTCTCCGGCGATCGTTGCATTTCTTGCTCTCACCGGCGTCCATAGTTTCCGGCAGTCCTACAGATTCTCCAGAACTTCCTCAATCAACCATCATGAGTAAGTTTCTTTTCCTCTCTTGTTTTCGTAGATTTTTTGGTTTTTTCTGGATTTCTGCATATGTGCGTGTTCTTCAGGTTCTTCAAGATCTTCATATGTTTTTCGGCGATTTTTTTTAGCGTTAGATCTTTAATGCATGAACCTAATACTATCAACATGTTTGTTGAGGAGTCGGTGTAGTGTATGAAGTCGACTTCGCTTCCATTTTCGAGTCGACTCCTGTCGACTTATATGACTCATTTTCTGTCAAATCGGTTGAATCCCATAACTCTTGTTATTTCCCTGTCCTTCTCGTTTTCGGTCAAGTCGAGTCGAATGGGTTAGAGTTCTCCAAATCAACTCGATTTTTCTTTCTGCGATATTCTTAAGCATTAGCTCTTGTTTTGCTTATTGATCATCGCGTTTTTCTTCTTTCTGTATTTTCGTTAGCTTCCGACTCTACCTCCCTTTGTGGCTCCATTGCTCACCAAATCAATATGTATTTAGATTCCGATTCCGTTCAAGTAGTCGGTTACAAGCTTGTAGACGAGCGACAAAACTCTCCCCTTTCGGAAGTATCCTCTTCTGGCGTCAATTGGGACTAATATAATCAAGCACTTTTGTCTGGTCAACTGGCTGTCCAGCTCCAAAATTCTCCTCGAGCCCAGAATCCTCGTCTGAGTCTCATTCCTCGAGGTATCCCTCTTAGGCTTTTAGACATTCCTGTATATAAGACGAGTCCTGTACCCTTTTCAATAATGGCTCCTCTCGTCGAGCTAAAAGATAATGTAACATTAGCCTGTCCATTAGTAAAGCTAGTTGTTCTTAATTCTTTCTCTTATGTCCTTGCAGCCGAAATCGAGGGCTTCAGGGCTTTCGGTGGTCTTCCCTCAGACTGGGAGTTAATCGCCCCCAACCCTAATGACGACTTCAGGCATCCTCCTTCCGGCTGTTATTCCTTCTTCGTTGACCAAATAATGTTTGGTGTGCGAGTTCCCATTCAACCCGAGCTTCTTTCTATCTCTAACTTGTATGATATACCAATAAATCAGTTTACCCCCAACTCTATTCGCATAATGGTGGCCTTCATTGTCGTCTCTCGAATAATGTTAGGTAGCTTCCTTCCCGAGTTTTTTCACTACTGTTACGGATACCGATTTGTGAAGGACCCCCATTGTCTAGGTCGTCGTTCTGGGGTGACTTTCCTTCACGATATTTCTTCCGACGTTACCGAATGAAAGTCGAAATATTTTTCATTCATCCCGCTCCTGGTAAATATCCCTTTGTCAATACTTAGATCACTAGTAAGGTTAAACAGAATAAACGACCTCGGTCCAGCCATTTTGCTGCTATGCTAGACGAGTTGAATAAGTGTACATATAGTGCTCGTCAGTTGATTAGGGACAACTCCCTTCTTAATCACGTGGGCATCTGTATCGACGAGGATGCTCCTCGACTTAAGGATCCCAATAAGCTGTTGATAGTTCGACTGCTCTCTCTTTTTGTTGTTGTTTTGTTTTTAGTTGGTTCCGATTTCCTTATGCGAGGGTGGTCTTTCGTCGCGACTTACTCATCCCTGTTTTGTTTCATTTCAGTTAAGGCGCTCAAACGTTTTGAGGTGAAGAAAAAGCCGACTGGTGACAAGTTGGCCGGTGGATCCGTTCCTCTGCCCAGGACTGAAGGTGGTTCCGGGTCGGGAGCTAAAGCGGCGGCAGTCGAAACGACTGCTGAAGAGAAGTCCTGGGATGAGAATCTTGATACTGCTAAGCACAAGTCATCGAGATCCCTCTCTCAAAAAAGAGCCCAAGACGATAGGGACGTCATCCTCATCCCCGAATCCCTCAAACGTCGCAAGAGCGACAAGGGGAAGAAGAAGGCGATCGAAAAGACAGTCGAGAAGGCTCCTCACTCCCCTATCACCGTCAAGGATATTACGGTGGGGATGCCTTCTCGACTCTGGAACCATCCGGAGCCCCACAAGCTGACTGAATATCTTAACTCTTTTATCCCAAAAGCTGACAAGGATCACATCGATTGCGACCCTTATGATCGTTCTAACTATGCCATCCTCTCCCTCTCACGGGTAATCTTTTTATTTGATTGACGTCGTCTTGGTGTTTCCTTTGATTTTTGTCATTCTTATCTATTTTCTCGTTTCTTTTAGTTATTCGCCTCGGTGCTCCCCTCTCTTTTGGAAGAGAGTAAAGCTCCCGGCTCTTCTACTAAGTCCCTCAGAGATACATGTGATGCTCAACGCCAAGAGCTCGACAAGCTAAGGAAAGAGTTGGAGGCGTCGAGGGCCCTTGTTGACAAGCTGAAGGCTGACAAGGCGATGGCTCGTCATAAGAACGACAAGCTGAAAGCCGACCTCGAGAAGGCTCGTGAGGAAAGCTTGGTCGAAATGAACGTTGGGGTCGAGAAAGGGCGCCGGACTTTTTTGAAGCCCCCAATGGGCTCTATTTTCCTCGAGACTTATCGTCAAGAGGTCGTCCAGGCTTTCTGCAACTCTCCTGCTTTTCTGGACAGGCTTTGCCCCGCCACCCTCCAGTATTTCGAGCATACCTTTGCGGCATGGGAGTCCGTGGTGGCGGGGTCTGAATTCGCTGAGAAACTTGATCGATAGAAGGTGAAGGAGACGTTCCCTGACCCAGCGGGTTATGAGGGTGACATGTCTCTTCCGGATGACTATCCATGGTGGTCGGGACTCGAGGCTCGGGCCATTCGCAAGGCTGGCCTGAGTGCGCAACTCGAGGTTCCTCCCACTCCCTTGGCCGGTCCAACCGAACTATTCGGGCCAAGTGGAGCTAGTCATGAGGAAGAAGTCGAGGAGATGGAAGCCGAGGGGCAGGGGACTGAGCCGCTTATCAACGGGGATACTGAGAAAAAGGATGATGGGGCCAAGAAAGATGCTGCTGATAACAAAACTGAAACTATTGCTATGGAGGGTGGAGACGACACTACTGAGAAGTCGGATGCCGACTCTTAGACGTGTTTGTCTAATTTGGGTTGCGCCGTTGTTTTGAAATTATTTTGAGTTGTAATGGTTTTTGTGGATGCTTTCATCGTTCTCGACCTATTTTTTGAGTCTTTGTAAAGGTCGAGACAATATCTTCTGTATGCGTACTTTCTATCAACATAATCAATTGTGCTTTTGAGTTTCCTATGACGCTTTGTTTCTCATGCTTGT